CCCACCGGAACTGCCTGGTCTAGAACCTCCGCATCAAACTCAATTTGAGGCTCCGCCACTAGTGTTGCTGCTTTGGACTGAGCTCTGCCCCTACCCCGGCCTCTCCCTCTTCCCCTTATTGGAGCTGCTGCTGGGGGTTCGGGCTGCTGATCAGTGGATGAGGAAGCACGTGTTCTCGCCATTTGCAAAAGAACATAGTAGAAATTCAATTAGCATTGAGAAACCAAACCGCACGACAGGAAAGAATAGATGTGAAGTTTTTCCTAACTCTGTAGCCTCTAGGGGATAAATACAGACGTCTTCGTACCGATCCCTCGGACTCTACTAAGCTTGTCCGTGAATTGTGAGACCTAAGTAACCTAGATCTCTAATACCAACTTGTCACGACATGGATTTTCCACTCTCGAGAGTCGTGATAAAGCTTACTAGTGAAAGCTAGGCAAGCCGACCATTTGAATTATTTACCTTTTTCTCATTTAATCTTTTAACAAATAATAACCAACATTAGATGAACAACGGAATTTAATAAGCGGAAGACTGAAATGTAATATTTTAATAAAGATGTCAATACCAATCCATACATAAACTACCTAGAACTGGTGTCATAATTTCACAAATAGTCTAAGAATACTACAAATAAAGGTCCGAAAAATAAATACAATATTATCTCGAAAATACATAAATGAACCAGTGAAAGGATAGAAGGAGACGCCAAAGCCTGCGGACACCTGCAGGACTACCTTGGATCTCCGAATGGACTGAAGACAGCACCCTCACTGCGGTCCGAAAGCTGCTACACCGGGATCTGCACACAGTGCAGAGTGCAGTATCAGCATAACCGACTGCATATGCTTGTAAGTGCCTAGCCTAACCTCGGCGAAGTAGTGATGAGGCTAGGACCAGAGTACCAAATAAACCTGTGCAGTTAATTCATATACAGCGGGAAAATAAAAGCAGGAATGTATAGTTAAGGATGGGAGGGGAAAACATGTTGGGGGAACCTCGAATAATAACATCAGAACAACAGATAAATATAAGGATCACCAAAGTTCAATTACCAGCAAGAATCAGAAATAAAAGACAAGTGCACGACATCACCCTTCGTGTTTTTGCTCTCCTCCTCACCATAAGAATCAATAAAATCTGCACGGCATCACCCTTCGTGCTTTTACTCTCATCCTCACCATAGAATCAATATAATTGGCACGGCATCACCCTTCGTGCTTTTACCTCACATAATCATACATGGAATGATCCTTCGTGCATTATCACTCATATAAAGGCACGGATTTGTACATCGTGCGGCACGACATCACCCTTCATGCTTTACACTCTTCCTCACAAAAATTATACACGACATCACCCTTCGTGCTTTAACACTCTTCCTCACCCAAACAACAATCACAAGGCAATAAGGGCAAGGAAATCAACAAATTCACAATAAAATCCCAGCAAGGGAACAATAGTACAACACTCATATCCCGGCAAGGGAACAATAACAAAACCATAACATCTCGGCAAGGGAGATAACATTAAAATAACAACATCCCAGCAAGGGAATAAAATCATAATCCTCTTTTCTTTTTTTTTCACATTTACTTCACAACTCAATTCACAATTTGAGCCATTACTCTATAAGGTTCAATTGCCCATTATACTTCCACAAATCATTTTGTCAATGCTTTTCCATATTCAAATATCAATATTACTTCCACAAGCCTTGCTAAACAATAGAAATCATCACATAAGGCATGAACAATACAAACGGAGTCACATTAATCATAGTATAAGACTCACGGGCATGCTTGACACCAACGTATAGATACTCGTCACCATGCCTATATGTCGTACTTAATAATTAACACATAGCAAATAGGACATAACTCCAAATACCTCAAGCTAAGGTTAGACCAAACACTTACCTCGATGCCACAACACAATTCAAGCCTCAACTACCGCTTTACCTCTTGATTCCACCATCAATTTGCTCGTATCTAGCCACAAGTTACTTAACTATATTAATAAGTGCTAAATGAATCAATTCCAATGTATGAAAATAGGTTTTCTAAAGTTTTTCCCAAAAAAATCAAAAATTGACCCCGAGGCCACATGGTCAAAACCTGAGGTTCAAACCAAAATCCGATTACCCATTCACCCACGAACCCAAATATATAATTTATTTTGAAATCGGACCTCAAATCGAGGTCCAAACTCCCAAAATTTGAAAAACCTAAGTTCTACCCAAAACACCCAATTTTCCCCATGAAAACCCTTGATTTTGAGTTGAATTCATGTGATAAGATATTAAAGATTGAAGAAAACGAGTTAAAAATGACTTACAATCGATTTGGAGAAGAACTTTTCTTTGGAAAATCGCCCAAAAGAGTTTATGTTTTGAAAGAGTTTGAAAAATGAAAGATTTTTGGCTAAGTCATGAATTTGCAGGTCGCAGATGTCGCAATTGCGACCAGGGTTCGCAATTGTGAACCCTTCAGAAACCTGCTAACTTCGCAAATGCGAAGATTTTGTCGCCCGAAGGAAATCCGGTCCACTTCGCATTTGTGATGGACCTTTTTCATTTGCAATGTCGCATTTGCGACCAAGGCAGCCCAGGTCTTCTTCGTATTTGCGATAGATATTCGCATTGCGAAGCCTGCAGACCTGCAACATACCAGCTGAAAACCTGCAACATACCAGCTGAAAACCTGCAACTTCCTAAGTTCAATTCCACTCCGTGGCCTATCCAAAACTCACCCGAGCCCTCGGGGCTCCAAACCAATCATGCACACTAACCTAAAAATATCATACGTACTTGCTCGTGCAATCAATTCATCAAAATAATATCAACAACTATGAATTAAACCCCAAATTCATGAGATCATTCAAGAACACCAAAATTTTCAATTTTCTCATCATTAAGTCTGTTTTGTACCAAACCAATACCGATCTTTACCAAATCTTATAGATTCAACCTAATTATTATTTCAAACTTGTATCGAGCTTCAGAACCAAAATACAGGCCCGATACCATCAATTTCAAACATATTTCATTTCCAAAAACTCATATATATTCCAGAAAATAATTTTCTTTAAAAATTTATTTCTCGGGCTTGGGACCTCGAAATTCGATTCCGGGCATACGTCCAAGTCCCATATTTTCTACGGACCCTCCGGGACTGTCAAATCACGGGTCCGAGTCCGGGTCCGTTTACCCGAAATATTGACCGAAGTCAACTTAAATTTATTTTTAAAGCAAAATTCACCATTTTCACAGATTTTTACATAATGGTTTTCCGGATACATGCCCGGATTGTGCACGCAAATTGAGGTGAGACAAAAAGGAGGTTTTAAGGCCTCGGAATACAGAATGTATTTCTAAAACAAGTGATGACCTTTTTGAGTATTAATTATTTATTTGCTTTATTTTATCATTTAAATTAATTCAAAGTATAAAATTCTCTCACACTATCTTTATCCTCCTCTTTCTAAATTATTTTTCCTAGTAAGTATGATATTTTATTTAATTTTTTCATTTAGTGACAAAAATACAAGTGCATTTGATCAAACTATATAGTACTTCACCAAAATATTACGGTATTTTTATTATTAAACTTCTAGTAATTATTATTTTTGTTGAAGGTTTTAGCCTTTAAAAAATTTATTTTTATTGTGTACTTGTTTAAAATTCAGAAAACTTAGTCTAAAACAGATACTTTGGATTATCCATTATGAAATAAATAAATTATTAAATATATCTACATTCTGAACTTTAGGTTAAAACCTTAAAATATATTCTTTAACTCATTAAAAAGTATTGAATTTTTAAAATAAATTATAATTGCTCATTAGATTACGGTAGGATATATTCTTCTCACACGATATTAGAAAAAGAATCCAAATACTATTGATATCAAAATTCTTTACTTTCCAAATAAAAAAATTTAGTTAGAAAATATTATTACAGTGATTGAACTTTATTTTTTTTTAAAGAATTCTTATTTCAATTTAATTTCAATAAATGAAATTCCATATATAGTTCTTAAGTGATATTTTCTTTTTGGATAATCTCCCACAAACTCTTTAAGATTGCCAAATGATTTTATAATAGTTTGCCACTTGGCTTAACCATAATGCAAACTTTCTTGCTTTAATATGTATGTATATGTATATGTATATGTATATGTATATGTGTGTGTATATATATATATATATATATATNAATTATTTTTAATTTAAATTCGAATTTTAGAACTTTATCTATAAATTCAAATTATCTTTTAATTCAAATTCTGTATATATATATATTATGATAACTAAAATAGTCAAATATAGAATAAAGTTACCATATACTATTGACATTTATTAGCTTGTCACTTGGCTTAACCATAATGTCAAATATATATGGTAACTTTCTTGCTTTAATATATATTGATAGATATAAATATAGATATAGATTTCAATAAATGGAATTTCATATATAGTTCTTAAGTGATATTTCCTTATTTGACAATCTCCCACAAACTCTTTGAGATTGCCAAGTGGCTTTATAGTAGCTTGTTATTTGGCTTAACCACAATGCAAACTTTCTTGTTTTAGAATATATATAGATTTTGAGAGATTGTCAAAATAATTTGTTAATTACCGGTAATTTATAATGTTAGTTTTCTATTGTTAGTTTGTTAAAAATTGTGTCTAGTTTTCAAAACTAAAATGTATCGAGTCTACTTTAACTAGTATAGTGACCAGAATGTCAACTTTGTCGTGGATTTCTAATCAAATATCATTACAATACAATACTAATATATTAAATTAGACCACATGGCAAAGTATCTATCAATTGATATATGGTGACGGCTTTATTGAAAGGGAAAAAAAGAGTACTACTCCCAGGAAGATACATAAAATATTAAAAAAAGGAGAAAACACTGTATATTTCAAAGATCAGAAATCGTCAAAATCTGCGGGTACGATATATTTCCATTAAATGAAGCTGATTTCTATTTCCCTTCATCTTCGTCTCTTCTTGATTTACATCTCCTTTGCTATTAATGTGGAAATATCAGCATACCAAAACTAAATTGCAGTAAGCCAAATTCAAGATTTGAGTTCATCAAACAGTTACTATGAAGTTTCCTTTTCCATTTACCAGTTGTTTTAGTTCCTCATCTGGTACAATGGATGCCAACCAAATTATCCCATATGGTACGTAACTTCTCAAATCCTCCTCTTTAACTTCTTTATCATTTTTTACGGTCTTGATAATATTATTCCCACCGAAGGGAGCCTCGGAGAAACGATAAAGTTATCTTCGTATGACATATAGGTCACTAGTTCGAGTAGTGGAAGCAGCCATTAATGCTTGCATTAGGGTAGACTGTCTGCATCTCACACCCCTTGATTCGGCCTTTCCTTGAACCCTACATGAACGCAGGATGCCTCATATCCCGGGCTGCCTTTTTGTCGTATAATATTATTCCTATTACTTAAGGATATAAATTCTACTAACAGGTGGACAAAGAGCTCAGAAGTTTTCAGTGTTCACTTACAAAGAATTGAAGGCTGCAACTCATGGATTCAGAGTTTCAAGTAGAATTGGAGAGGGAGGATTTGGTTCTGTTTACAAGGTGGGTTTCTTTGAATTGAAACGGTTTTAAATGAAACAACATGAACAATGAGGATTCATATAGCCAATTCCAGCTAGAGCGAGGGATGGCCATTTTTTTCCTGACTGCATTCGATGCTGATGTTCATTTGGTTTTTTTTCTTGAAAAGGGTCGGCTTGAAGATGGAAGCATTGTGGCTGTAAAGGTTCTATCAATTGAATTAGAAACATTGCGAGGTGAAAGAGAATTTATTTCAGAAATAGCTGCATTGTCTGATATCAGACATGAAAATCTTGTCATTCTCAGAGGATATTGTGTGGATGGAACCAACAGATTCTTAGTCTATGATTACATGGAAAACAATAGTCTAACACAATCTTTTCTAGGTAAATTTTTAAGCATTTAAGTTATATACACTGTTACCGTGAAAGAAATTAAATGCGATCAGGTTACTCAAAGGATATCTACAAGTTAGCCTCTTTAAAATTTGGTATATGTAATCTTGATAATAATACAGGTTACCTGCTACAACAAATAATTAAAGATGGCATGATAGTTTAAATATTTCTTACACTAACGGCGTATATAACTGAACGCATTCTTTAATATCTCTATCATATTAAATTTTGGAGGAATGTTATCACAATGAGTTGGCTTAAATTGATTGTTTTGACCAGCAGGGGAAGAGCAAAACAGAAGTAAATTCACATGGGAACTAAGAAGAGAAATTTCAAAAGGAATAGCAAAGGGACTTTCATATCTTCACGAAGAAGTGAATCCTCACATTGTACATAGAGATATTAAGGCCAGCAATATACTTCTTGATCAGAATTTTACACCAAAAATTGCTGATTTTGGTTTATCTAGGCTATTCCCAGAAAAAACTTCCCACATTACTACCCGAGTTGCCGGAACATTGTAAGTTCAAAGTACATTTTGGATTCCATATTTGAGTGTTTATTGTTGATCATGTTGTTAGTTTCTTGACTTAATTACCTTATGCCTAAAGAGGCTATCTTTCTCCAGAATACGCCATTAGTGGACATTTAACTCGGAAATCAGATGTTTATAGCTTTGGAGTCTTATTGCTAGAAATAGTCAGCGGTTGCCCTGTAATTGCTTTTGACATTGAGAGAGGAGAACATTTCCTAGTTAACAAGGTAATCATATTTCGTAATGTTTAATTTCTATACATTAACAATGTTAAAAAGAATTTATATTATCAGGTCATCTAAAAGGTAATTAGTGGCAATAAGTGGAATTAGAACTTGAAAAATAAGACAAGTATCCTTCTATAGCATAATCTCACTAGTGTATTTATTTCAGGCATGGGAAATGTACAATAGTGGCAAATTATTAGAGCTAGTAGACCCTGTGTTAAATGGAGAATTTTGTGGCGATGAAGCTGTCCGATTCTTGAAGATTGGCCTGCTCTGTGTGCAAGAAATCGCCAGTCTCCGCCCCAAAATGTCTGCAGTCATAAAGATGTTGAGCAGTTCCAATTATATGGAATTAGAGGACATAAAGATTACTCAGCCTGGAATTCTTGCTGATCTGAAAGATGTTAAGATAGGTCAAAAGCAATCTTCTAACAGCTTTTTCTCCAATGCTGTAGCTATAGCTAGAAAGTGTTGGTACAAAGTGTATATTTCAAACACAAAAACTTGGCCTACTGTTTTTGAGAAGATATAAATCAATGAGGCTTTGAATATGTGACCAGCAGGTTACGGGTTCGATACGTGAAAATAGCCTTTTGTAAAAATACAAGATAAGGTTGTGTGCAATAAACCCTTATGATGTGGCTCTTCTCCGGACCCCGCGCATAGCAAGAGTTTTAGTGCACCGAGCTGCCTCTTGAGGCTTTGAAGAGACTGAAATGAAAATGCTCTGAACAAATGTAGCTTAGAGTAGGTCTTTCTTCTGACTTCTTTCTTTTTTAACCTTTATTTGAATATTTAGTTCCATAAGCTGCAGATATTATCCTTGGGTAACAAACAAGGATAACAAATTTTTGGATTTGAGGGACCAAATAAATTTTTTCTTCAATTAATTATAACTTTTTCTAACACTATTTAAATATTTATAACTGTAAAACAGTTGTGGTATTTAATGTTCTTCTTTATGACGTCAGAAAATATGTAAATTTTATTTGAAGGCTTAATATATATTTCTGCCCCTCTCTTTGAACTCACGAATCGATATCACTTTAACGCTACTGGTGACTTGTTGTACATCTCAACTTGTAAAGTATGGGTCTGAGACCCTTACACAAGCGCGTGTAGAAACAAAAATAGAAAGCTGAGGGACCTTTTTACCCTTCAATCAATTATAAGTGGAAAGCCTTTAAGTCCAAGTTGAATTACGGAAATATCCCCTCAAACGCTGAGGGACCTTTTTACCCTTCAATCAATTATTATTCATAGTTATTTTCTTGTATAAACATGTAAATATACAATAATCAGTTCTACTTTATTAGATTTGAATAGAGTACAATGAATCAGCCACTATAATGTCTCCAGAATATATTAAATATAATATGTAAAGTAGGAACGGTCGTATTCATTGTGTTTACAGCTAGAGTAATTAAGTTCTAAGGAATAATATTTCTTCACATTTCCATTCAAATGGAAACCCCAAAGGTTATATTTGATATATGTACAGTTTTATAACAGTCAAAAGCTGTCACAGACCCAAAATCTAACCATGTCGTGATGGCATCTGTCGTGATACTATGCCAGTCCCCTATTTCCGATTATTCCATTTTTCAAATAAAAACTTAAGTAAATCATAATTTTTAACAGAAATCCAATAAGATAAGAAATAGAAATCAAAATCCAGCGAAAAGAAACACAATCCCGACATCGGGTGTCACTAAGTCATGAGCCAAAAACTACTACAACTGTTCCAAATAACATGACCAACACGGTCTGAGAATATCCAAAACAAATAGACTAAAGGAAGATAAGGAAAGGAGAAGGCGAAACTGCGGTCGGCAAGCAGCTACCTCGCAATCTCCACAGAAAGTCTCCAACTGACGAGATCAACAACCGCTACTGTGCCCCGAGCTATTTGGATCTGCACACAGGCGTGCAGGGGGTAACGTGAGTATACAAACTCAGTAAGTAACAAGTCCAACCTATGGACTGACAGGTAGTGACAAACCAAACCTCAATAGGTAATAACATATATCTGAACAGGAAAAGTAGACATGCTTATAGTTCAAGTAAAGTTCAACAGTATTTAAATGCAACTGACAGTACGAATTTCAAAACTCAGTAATTTTACATATACAAATGCACAACTAGCATGATCAATGTTCTATAAACATCCACTTACAAGCACTCAACCCCTCGGTACTGTATATGGCCATCCGGCCCAAGGAAGATCCATCCCGGAATATACATCACTAACCGCAATCATCCAGTGCCGAGGACACAGGCCAGTCCAGCCTCACGGGGAAGATCCATCTCCCGGTATAATACTTCGGACAAGATCCATGTCCAAGGAAGATCCATCCCTAAATATCATCATCTGCGCTCACTGGGGTGTAAAGACTCCGGAGGGGCTTCTCTCATTAGCCTAAGCGCTATAAAAAGCCAACGAAGGCTTGTTCAATATCTCGCTGCGGTGTGCAGCCCAATCTCATACTATCACTCAATATCATGCTCTCGGCCTCCCTCAGTCATAACTCACCAGTCTCACACACGGGCTCTAGATGTCATGATACTAGCCCGGTCAACAGTAAAATGTGGCAAATAATAATAATCGAGATTGAGACATGATATAATATGCATGGAAGGGACTGAGTACAGAATATCAGTAAAATAAATGATATGACAGCAAGAAATGACCTCTGGGGTCTCAATAATATCGGCGTGAAGCTTTAACATGATAATCGGCATGATTTACATCTCAACAATTAAATCGCATAATTATGGCACAGATATCGGTAAGAAAGAACCACTAAGCGGTGTTCTGGAATGATCTAGGCCGCGTTTCCCATGGTGCATGCCCATACGCCTGTCACTTGACATAGCGTCACCTTCCTAATAATCATAGAACACATAGTTCGGAACCCGCAGAACCAAAATTGGAAGTGTTACTTACCTCAAGTCAAGCCAAACTCTAGCCCGCTACGCCTTTTCCTCTCGATTCGACCTCCAAATGCCCCGAATCTAACCAAAATCAGTATATAACCATCAAAATATGCTAAGAGAATAAAACCCACTCAAAAATAATCAAATTATATCAAAATCCCGAAATTGATCAAAACCCAAACCCCGGGCCCACGTCTCGAAATCCGACAAAATTTACATCAATGGAATCCTTATTCCCCCACAAGTTCATTCATACCAAAAGTACTAAAATTCGACCACAAATGATCCCTCAAATCCCTAATTTTAGGTCTCCAATTTTCTAAGCCCTAACCCCCAATTTGCTACTGATTTTCCCATAGATTTCAAGTTTACAACCTTAAAAATCATCATAAAAACGAGTTTAAGGACCAAGAACCTTACCTCTAAGAAACCCTCTTGAATCCTCCCCTGAATTTGCTCCCCAAAGCTTCTTACCGTTTGAAATGTTATGAAAAATAACCCAAATTCGCGAAGGGTGAAATATATATGTTCTGACCTAGCAAAACTGCATCTGCGTTCCAATTATTGCACCTGCGGACCCGCACTTGCAGTCCCAGGTGCGCATATGCGAATTTCACTTATCCGCCCAACCACCGCACCTGAGATGGCGCAGGTGCGCCCAAAGTTTCGCTTTTGCGGCTCTAGCCTTTCCTTCTCTTGGCCGTATTTGCGACTTCAGTTCCGCTTCTGTGGACTCGCACCTGCGGTCCCCAAGCCGCAGGTACAGTTATGACAGGAACTTAGCACTTCAGCTACCAATTCCAACTCAAAACCTCCCGTCAACCATCCGAAATCACCCCGAGCCCCCGTGACCTCAACCAAAAGTACGAACAAGTCATGTAACACCTTCCAAACTTATTCCAATCTTCAAAACACCTAAAACAACATCGAAACATCAAATTAACCACGGATTCAAGCCTAAGAACTCTAAAAACCTCTAAATTCCGCTTTTGATCAAAAAGTCTATAACCCTTGTCCGAATGACCTGAAATTTGCACACACATCACAAACGACTCAACGTACCTACTCTAACTTCCGGAATTCCATTTCGATCCCTATATTAAAATCTCACTTATCAATTGGAAAACTCCAAAATTTCAATTTCGCCAATGCAAGCCTAAATCTACCCCGGACCTCCAAAACACATGCTGATCACGCTCCTAAGTCCCAAATCACCTTCCGAAGCTGTCTGAACCATCAGAATTCACATCCAATCCCTTTTTCACATAAGCCGACATCCGGTTGACTTTTCCAACCTAAGCTTACTAAGTGTCTCATTCCTTTCCAAAACTTCTCCGAACCCGAACCAACCAACCTGATATCATATTATACAGCTGAACAAGACAATAAGAAGTAGAAATGGGGGACACGGAGCAGTAACTCATAAAACGGCCGACCGGATCGTTACATTCTCCCCCTCTTAAACAAACGTTCGTCCTCGAACGAGTCAAGAAACATACCTGAAACCTCAAATTGGTAAGGATATCTGCTACGCATCTCCTGCTCGGTCTCCCAGGTAGCCTACTCCACGGGCCGGCCTCTCCACTGCACTTTCACTAAAGCTATATCCTTTGATCTCAACTTTCAAACCTAACGCTCCAAAATCGCTACTGGCTCCACATCATAAGTCAAATCATCATCTAACTGAACCGTGCTGAAATCCAAAACATTAGACGGATCGCCAATATACTTCCGGAGCATCGAAACATAAAATACCGGATGCACACTCGATGAGCTGGGTGGCAAAGCAAGCTCATAAGCCACTTCCCCAATTCTCCAACGCACCTCAAAAGGCCCAATGAACCGAGGACTCAATTTACCCTTTTTCCTAAATCTCATAACGCCCTTCATAGGCGAAACCTTCAGTAGAACCTTCTCCCCAACCATGTAGGACACATCATGAACCTTCTTGTCAGCATAACTCTTTTGTCTCGACTACGTGTACGAAGCTGCTCCTGAATCACCTTCACCTTGTCTAAAGCATCCTGCACTAAGTCTGTACCCAAAAGCCTAGCCTTGTCGGGCTCTAACCAACCAATTGGAGATCTATAAAGTCTCCCATATAAAGCCTCATATGGAGCCATCTGAATACTCGATTGGTAACTGTTATTGTAAGCAAACGCTGCGAGCGGCAGAAACTGATCCCATGACCCTCCAAAATCAATGACACAAGAATGCAACATGTCCTTCAATATCTGAATAGTGCGCTCGAACTGCCCGTCCTTCTGAGGGTGAAAAGTTGTGCTCAACTCAACTTGAGTACCCAACTCTCTCTATACGGCTCTCCAAAACTGTAAAGTAAATTGAGTACCTCTATCTAAAATGTTGAAAACCGGGACGCCATGCAAATAAACAATCTCTCGGATATAGATCCCTGCCAACCGCTCTAAAGAATAGGTAGCACACAGAGGAATAATGTGCGCGGACTTAGTCAGCCGATCCACCATCACCCAAATAGCATCAAGCTTCTTCAAAGTCTGTGGGAGTCCAACTACGAAGTCCATGGTGATCCGCTCCCACTTCCAATCTAGAATATCTATCTGCTAAAGCAAGCCACCCGGTCTCTGATGCTCATATTTCACCTGCTGACAATTGAGACACCGAGCTACGAATCCCACAATGTCATTCTTCATTCTTCTCCACCAGTAATGTTGTCTCAAATCTTGATACATCTTCGCGGCACCCGGATGGATGGAATACCGCGATCTATGGGCCTCCTCCAAGATCAACTCCCGAAGCTCATCCACATTGGGCACGCATATCCGGCCTTGCATCCTTAATATCCTGTCATCACCAATAGACACATCTCTGGCATCGTCGTGCTGAACTCTGTCCTTAAGGATAAGAAAATGAGGATCATCATACGGACGCTCCTTGATGCGATCAAATAAAGAAAACCGAGAAACCACACAAGCCAATACCCGGCTGGGCT